CGAATGACCTTTAAGTAAGCCATTTCAGTTCAAAACCTCATACAAATGGGTGATACTCGTTTTAACCTCAGCTGTAACCGAGGCTACAGCTTGCTCGTTGGCCTGACCAACAGCTGAAGCCGCGGCCACTTTTCGAGATGGCGTAGCCTCCGTCGGGATTCGAACCCGGCTCTCCCACGGGGTGGCACAAATCCCTCCCAACTGGGCGATCACGTCCCCCACTAAAGACAAGGCCGCTGCTGAAACAGCATAATGGGGGCTCAACCTTCAAGCACCTACCCAGACAGCACCACACCAATGCACACCAACGCTCGGCGAGATCAAAGGCCGCCGGGGAAGGTATCCATACATCCTCATATCCATCCACATATATATGTCCATGTTCCTATTCCTCAGCATATGCCGCTAAACCCCCATCAAAACACAGGTCACTCTCTGCTTCAGTGCACACAACACAGTACGCAACAGCTGACAAGGTGACGTCGCAGTGAGCATACGCTACGACATGACAGTGACCTTGATCAGTGATCAAGTCACCAGCAGTGGTGCACAATGCCACCTGCTACTCACGGTGACACTACACGTAATCATTCGTGCATGATCACAGGTATGTTTGAATGTTTACATGGCATGTCATGCACGAGCATGACAAACTACGCACATAGTGCGCACATTACAGGACCAAGGGCCAGGGGATTTGCACACAGTTACGCCCATAGCGGGTCCAATATAGGACCAGGGGCCAGGGGATGTGCATACAGTTACGCCCATAGTGGGCTCATTAAAGCCGTATCAGCATGTCTGTGAGGCGCTCCCAGCGCCACCTACCAGCATGCAGTCCTCCATGGCGCGCGCTGGGCACCAGTGGAACATGCCCGTGCTGTCGTACTTCATCTCCGTCTTCTCGAAGTCGAAGTCCTTGGACTGGTCGTCGGCGATGCCGGACTGGATGCCGCCGGGACCGGCGTTGGCACCGCCGGCGGCTCGCGACGCCGGGCTGGGGTCACGCGTGTCACTGGGTCAGGTTACGCCAGGTCACAGGGTCACGCCAGGTGACGTCACGGGGAGCATGGCGCGTGCAGGAAGAGTGTGGAGGCGGCGGTGGTTATGCATATGTTTTTGCGATGTGCACGTGTGTGTGTGGTTTGTTTCATCGATCTAACCAGGGGCATACTCATACCAGCTATCCCATCACTTCTTATTCGCATTGACATTCAGTGTTTCAACATATTCATTTTGGTGATGGGCTTGGCGCTGGAGAAGATGTTGATTGTGCACTGAAGAACAAAGTGGCGAAATGTCCATGCAACCCTCGTAGTACCAACCATCTTAAAGCTGTGCGTTGAAACAGAACAAGCATTTGCATAACTTTTGCGGCGCGTAGGAGTAATAAATTATTCAGAGGGAAGAACACGGGTACTTGTTCCTTTGCCGGAATGGCTTCGTTTCAAACAGCGATTTTCATCAGTTAGGGACAGTTCCATTCATCCATAATGAACAATGATTTCTTTGTTGCCATAACACATGCGAACCGGAACCAAGTTCACCGTAATAAACATTCCAGCATTCTGTAATGCGCTCTGTCAAACGGCATTGCGCATGGCAACAGAACCCGGGAGACAGGACCTGGGAGAGTAGCGGCGCGAGATCCCTGACGTGAACAATTTGGATTTGGCTCTGTTATCAAGTCCAAAAGTTGTCTCAGTTCTGAGTGGAGGCATACTTCTTTGTATCGCGAGGACATTTTGCTTACATCGAACTTAACAATATTCTGGAAGCTGGGTTTTATGTCTGCCCAGACGGGTTACGAAAACGTGCATGTGGCATCATCAGAGTGGTTCCCCCCCAAAAAAAGACACCGTTAGCGTTAACCTGTCCAAATCCAAGTTTTAATAGCCTCGCTAGAAGGCGAATTCGAACAGTGACAATTTTGAACGATAACGCACATTTCTACAACCGGTATCTTCACTGCAAAATGAAGAAGTGTACTAGACGACCCGGTACGTTCCAACACCATCGACTTATCGGCCAAAGAGAAAAAAACTTTGAGCCAAAAAAGGAAACAGGAAGTTCGAGAATAAAAACGGGATGGCCTTCCCATTTATCCTCCAAACGAAATGAATCACAGAGAAATCAGGCAGTCATGGAGACCAGGAAGTGAAAATGTCATGCAATGCAATGCCCCGTTTAAAGCATGCCTGTTGCGCCGCTATCACCAGTGGATGCTCTCCTCATCATCGTCAAGCCGGGCTGTCTTATATCAATGACCTCTGAAGGTCATCATCATCCTAGCAACCCAAATGTTCAGGCTGGCGAAATGGTACCTCTTCCCTCTCTGCTTTCTCCATTTGCCAGTTCCGCTCATCAAACGTTTTGAAGAAAGCTTACGGTAAATGACAGACTCGGTCCGGGTCATGTGCCAAAGGAAACACCGAAAACGTCATGAATTCTCGAGCTACTGGCTTACAGCCAAATAACTCGACTGTCAGATGCCTTGACTTACTGTCTTGGGTTATTGCTACAACTTACCGACTTTTGAAAACAAAATTCGGGAGTTTTTGCAGGAACTCATTTGGAATTAAAGCAATTCAAAAGTATGGTCTGTCTACAAAAAAAATATCATCCCACAATTCTATCAGTGCATCAGTTCGCGGAAAACAATTTTACCCGAAAATAATTGATAAATGATGGTAAGGAAATAAACACGGCCACCCAGTTCCGACCTGAATACCATAGCTGGTTTCCGTATGAGGTCATACACACCAAGACGTCATGCGCGACACTGGTCCATGCCTGCAAACCAATATTTCAATTTGTTCGCCAAATTCGCCTTTTTCCAACAAACGTCCGACACCAGCCCTTGAAAGTAAGCGAAAACAAAAATATAGTAAATTCAGAAAACTTACATGTTGGAACGCTCAAATGAACCATAGTACGGGGACTTGAAATCCACGAAACCAGCATTGTCCGAGTTAATCAATATCCCGTTGCATTGCGCGCTGTTGTGATGCTGACCTTCAAGCGACCCCACGCTGGAAAGCAAACTGATAGTAAAGATCACACGAAGACAGAAAAGATAATGACGCCACGTCACAAAACAGCAATTGACGTCACGGCGTGTTAAGAGAGGAATGATGCGAGGAGTGTCCATGGAATCCATTTGGGCACTTGAAAACAAATCGACTTTTTGAAGAAAACGTTTGCGCTGATTGTTTTTAGCTCGTGCAAGGTTTTTATGAAACTTACGCCAGCATTCCTGTCGTCAATTGTCATCGCATTGCCTTCTTCATGTCCATTTACCTTAGCATACCCTAACCGTAGCATTCAACGTCCACTAGCACCGCGATCTCCTCAAGGTCAATATACCGTTCTTTCTCCTTGAAACAGACCGTTAAGCGTCACCAACAAATGCAACATTGCTTGAGATTTCCAGCGCAGTCAGCGCTGACATTGTCAGCAGGCGCCTGCTGAGCCGTGCTGAGCTGAGCTGAGCTGATCAGCACAAGAGCAGAACAGCAGCAACAGCAGCAGCAACGGCAGCAGCAACAGAAGCAGCAGCGGCGGCGGCGGCAACGGAGGCGGCGGCGGCGACCGCGGCGGCGGCAGCAGCACGGTTGCAAAGCTAAAAGAAGCGATCTCCGAAACACGAAGGCGGCACAGATGCTGACTAGCGACCAGCCGCCTTCCGCACACGTACCGAACCTGCAGGCGCGGCCATGGACACGACAACGAACGACAGAATGCCAGAGTACCTCGCCTAGTCTATGGGAAGGTTCGGATGCATTCTGATCAGACCAGCTGGCTACCGTTTTAACGAAGGCTTATCGTGCAAATTGCTTCCAACATTTTCGAGCATTGCCAAAATTGCGTGAAATGTTCAGGTTTGTAGAAAGTGAAGCCTTTTTTCGGCTAAGCGTGCTTACCTCATCTAAGGAAGCTTCTAATGTAAGCCTCCACCGACAAACAACAACCAGGCTGAATGGATTTGAGGCACAACTTAAGCATGCGAACCACGATACGCCTTCGCCAAAACAGCCGAAACCGGTGCGCAAGCCAAGAGCAACGATACACATCGACAGTGGTGGCAACTGCGGCGATCCGTGTCATTCTCGACATCCGGCCTGGGCGCATCGGCTAGCTACGACAAAAGGGCGGACTAAAAGTGCTCGTACAGGAGCTTTTTCACTTCGTAGGCCAGAGGCAGCGCCTGATAACCGGCTGGTGCCGTCTCTTCTGGGAGCCTGCAAGGCCGGGAGACACGGTTACCCGGGCTGGCGCAGGCAGTAAGCAACAGGCTGGTTAGCGGCTGGTTTCCGAGTGGTTACTGGGTGGTTACCACGGCGTTGTTGCCGGGGTGGTTAGTGCAGGGGCGGTTACCACATCTGGTTAGCGTTTGGGTAACCGGGCTGGCAAGGCGGGGGGTTATCAGACAGGTCGCCGAAATTGTTACCACGGTGGCTACCAGGGCGGTTGCTGTGCCTGCTAGCGGTTTGGTTACGGGGCTGGCCAGCGGAAAGTTGTTGGGGTGTTCATAGTTACGGTCACTGGTGTGAGCGCCTGCGCTCATGGCACACAGACCCAGCGGTCATCAAACTCGGCTAGGCCATTCGGCAATTCCCTGCAGGGGCTATCAAACCCAACGTTGACAGGATTACGCGCCGGAAGAATTCATACCAACTGTCCACGGACCATAAAGCAGCGGTCAGAGGCAGCTGCTCAAGACACTGATTTCGCGAGGCTAGAGGCCGTAAAATGTGACGTCAGGGCACGTGGGAGTCATAGAACACAGAGAGAAAAAACTATAAACATGGTGACGTTTTTCTTCCCTACATCATTAGACTGCGATCTGATATGGCCCTAAATTTGAAACGCACCAAAATGAAGTAAGCAGGAGCGTATACTATTGTTTTGGCAATAAAACGATTAAAATAGCCGAACGTTTTTACCGTCGAAGGCATTTTTGTTCAGTATGTGAACATAAGGCATTGTACATTGTAGCGCTTTACGATTTGGTCTCATGTGTCCAAATCTACAAGTGCAAAATATGGAATTGGCACACGGTGACGGAACAGACACGCTTTGGGTGCAAAGTTAAGCAGCCATTTTGCTAGGGGACCCATGACATACGACGACTTTTGCCCTTTTTGCCCCCTTTTGTGTGTCCCATTTTCTGTACCTTTCAGAGTTGGTATCAAATAAGGTGGCATGCAATAATTTTAGCACAAGAGAGGACAAATAGCCCTCTTCATGTTGACGTTATTAAACAGCGACATAACTTGACAACAATACTGAATTTACGACGACTCCAACAAACTGGAGCCAATGCCTTGCGATGTGATATAGATTCCTCCAATACCTAAAATTATCCTGGGAACACTAGGGCCCTTACGAACCAGGGGCGATGGTAAATGTATTTTGCTACCAGCACCAAATAACACAAGTTTTCTACCCGGTGTGGTGCGTCCCACATTAATACAAGTCAGTGATCGAGGTCAGCTCAAGGTCACACAGTCAGGTAGTTCAAAGAAGATGAATTATCCTGCCCGTCGAAATGTTGTAATCTAACCTAACTAAAACATCAGCACGATCCGTGCATGTGTTCATAACATGCATGACACACAACATACATTAAACAATTCAAAAAGTTGTTTGCGCCGATGCTTCCAGCCGACAAATAAGCTATTAATATCAGATTTTTTCATTCCAATATCACGTACGGCTGGGTCCGCTCAAGGAGTCACATTGCCGCATTGGACTCTTTGTGGTGTTGCATCCACTTTTGCGTAAAATTTGGGCAATGAACTAGAAAACTAGTTTAAATTCTCGTATAAATTACAGAGAGCCGCACGAATGCTCAACCTTCCCTAGCTGACGTCGATTTGAAGTGATGCTCTAGGCCCCCAACCGCACTTAGATTGACAAATAAATATTTTTGATCCAATACTGTCAGTCGGTAGGCTAAAACCGAGGCAAGCTTAGCTTAACCTCAGCATGGGCGGGCGCTGCAGGGATTCAAGGCAAAATGCAATCAAAATTTGAGAAAAATTGTTACGCTGGACCTATGTGTAAGATGGAAAGAAAAACTGTCCCATGCTTGGCACCAACCCTGGGCATGTTCTTTTCACTACGAACATCACTCATGCTTCGGTCATTGCGAATAAGTCCGCGGGCCGAAAAAAATACGGGCGAAATTCCCATCGTTCTACCGTCAGTCAGCTGATACAAACATATCCTTATTTCAGGGTGCTTAAGCACTTTCGTCTCTTCGTCTTTTGTCTATTTCCTCTCAAAAGGGAACACTATAAAGGTAAATGGCTGATAGGTACACACTGACATTTCGCTGTCTGTCACCGAATATATTGAGTATATGCTTTGAGTCACAGGTCTTGAAAACATTGCTGACAGGCTAATGTTCAATAACCAGCATATCTACATTTACTTATTTATCTACACCACTAACGTTGTTACCAGAACATTGGTAGGAAACATCTTATCAACACCAGTCGTTTTATGCAAACTATCGATGCAGTTTCCCGAACACAGAAAGGGCGCTTACCATCAGGCTCATGCCCTTTTATAACGGCTAGACACTGTATAATGCAATTCTTGCGGCATGTACCGGTCCTCTTCTGCTATCCCACATGTCCAGAAAACCGCCATTTAACCTCGGTTTACACACTTCTAAAGTGAAGCAAGCTCTCCGTTGGTGGAGTTATGAAAACTCAGAAATAACCTGCGGAAATGCATACCCCAGCTATTGCATTCCATACTATCAGATACGCCCAACACATGCCTCATCATGAAGCAAGTCTCGGAAGTAAATACATTGTCACGCCGTGACGTAACAGTAAAATATCATCTGCCGATCCCTCGTGAACCAAACCGGCATAACATGTCAAATGTCATCAAATCATTATCGTACCCACACCGGAACCTGAGCCGTGCCGCATCTGTTGCCCTCCCGGACCCAAAAGCTGGACGGCCTGTATCCCCTCATCCGAGTTAGGCCCAGTGCATCGTGCTCCCTAATCTCCGTACCGCAGGAGGCCCCACTCTCCGCCCTTGCACCTGCTGCCCGTGACTGCTTGCTGTGCGCCTGAACCCGGTCCAGACCTACTATCATACCCCACAACCAGGGCCCAACATGACCTGTTGCCCCCCCCCCTCCAGGACGTGATTCCAAACGCACCCACGAACCTCCGCACCCGAATAACCAGCCGCCCCCCACCCACTGACCCCCTCGGCCAGACGTCAGCCACACCCCACCCCTCCCTGCACCGCACCTGTTGTATCCCTGGACCTGGGAGCTGATGTCCGACCCGTTCTTGTTGATCTTGGTGAGCTGCTTGGCCGCCTCCAGCAGGCCGCCGCTAGGCGAGGCCTTCACCGCCGCCGTGCTGTTCTGGTTCGACAGCGCCACTGGAACGAGCCGGCCAGGTCACGTGACCCGGGCTCTGACCGGCGGCGCCAGGGCGTCCGGGCGGCGTCGGCCCCGTGGTGCCGGAACGGAGAACACTCCGCGAAGCGCCAGAGGAGTGGAAAACTGAGTCCGTCGGCATCTTTCCCTACATGACCAGCAACAGCAGTAACAAGCGAAAATGACTGAACGAGAACGGTACGACTCGGATCGTTCGTCCCTTCGAGTTTACAACTCCACCGCTTTACGCATGCGCGCTTCGCTCGACAAGAGTCGCCCAGCGGCACCCGGAGGATCCGGGCGCAAACCCTGGTGTCTTTTCGGTGTTGGCCTACGGAGGTGAGCACACTGGCCTTCGCTCTTACAACGCTGCCATCCGGGCGGCCTGAGACCGAATTACGGCCCGTGACAGTCTGAAGGCGACCATTCGGGAGAACGGAAAATACCACGATACATGATTTCAATCGGCGTTAAGTGTCAGAGGGTTTTACACCGAAGCTCAGAACACGGTACTCGCAGCTCACAGATCGATTTGCAAGGTTGCCACGCAACCGCAGAAACGATGAGAAGCACTTTGCCATCACCTGGCATGACCTTCCGACCCTCCACGCGTGGAGGTCGGTCACCATTTCGGCGTCGCGCGGACAAGACCTGCTGGGAAGCATCCGCATGCGAGAAGCGTGGTTGCATAGACATGCGGTAATAAAGACAACGCGACGATGCGATGTTAAGCTAAGTTTTGACATGAGAGAGTGCCAGACTATGCGGCGGAAACTGTTTTGTGTTTGCTACATTGCATTGGAGTGTGTACGGGAAGACCTTGATGAAATGGTAGATGTCCATCGTTCGTGCACTCTACACGGAGAGATTGTTTTGCTATTCAGCTAGCATTTCAAGAGCACGTTAATCAATGCCAAACCTCTTTTAAACTCGTTCTTATTCATTTCAAGTTCACTTCCTTTTACCTTCGACTTTGTCCTTAACAGCAGTGTGACTGGGGGAAAACTATTGAGAACTATTTCAAACATCGGTTTGCATGCACCATAAGCCCAGAGGGTACGTAAGCGTTCCGATTTCGACATGTGAAACACATGCGGTTGCTTAACTTCACGCGCAAGTAAGTACACTGACGGTATCCAGTCCATGTGTGTACATGAGCAAAAACTGTATGGCGATCTAAACATGGAAATGAGCATGCTAATTACAACATACAAAGTAAACGAATCATTGCAACGAACGTGTGAGTAATCAGCGAAGTATGAACAACCAACACCCATCCATATCCACTTAGTGCAGGCTGTAGTCCGAACAGCATCATATGTACAGATAATCCGGACTGAAGGAAGAGTTGTTCGCAGTTGAAAAGAAATTCTCACATTTCCGTGAAGAGTTATAGGGAAACCGGTGCATACAGTGCGATACGTGTTTCCAAGAATTCAAGAAGAATACCGTGTCAATAGGATACCGCCTGACCAATTTCCTAGTCCGAATACTTGGTTCTCAACACGTTACAACCTTTTGCCCTTGCCCGGTGACTTACCCACAAGCCTACCGTGTACACTCTCGCCCGTCAGCTGTCTGTGAGATGGTATTCGTTCATGCTTGTGTAATAAACCATTCCAAGGCACTTATGGAAGCCCTTACGTTATGGAAGACCGGCACTGGGGTAGTGTACAGGGTTACCAAATCAGGAGATGACTGAGATTCTGCTCTGAGACAACTCAGGCACCCTCCGGAAGCGGAGGGCTGTGTCATGGCCGCTGAACCGGATCCTGCTGTTGGCAACGGGGCGCAATAGTGGTGTGCCAAAGCCTATTGGCAATGGGGCGCAAAAGTAGTGTACCGGATTCTGCTACTGGTAACAGGGCGCAAAAATGGTGTAGCGGGTTCTGCTGTTGGTAACGGGGAGCAATAGTGGTGTACCGGACTCTGCTATTGGCAAAGGGTCGCAGTATAGGGACGGGAGCAGTGAGATCGTGATAGTGCTGAATATGAACTAAACGGTCGCTGGTTCATGTTCACGACTTTGAGTGGACTTTTGGTTTCAGTTTCAGGACTTTTTGGTTCAGTTCATAAGCTTTCAGTCCAAAAAGTATACAACTGAGGCACTTTTTTACAAAAGTTTGACAAGTATCATTAAATTTGGGGCCGCTTGTACTCGACAACGGCAGACATGAAACAGCAAGCACAGAGGCTAAACACCGCTATGCCCCTATAATCTATCACGCGGCAGCTATTTCTAATGGTCTGAGGCATACCAGCGACGAGGTGGGAAACCACACTCTCGTTGTCTCTTTTAAGATATTCACTGCGATTATATTTAGGTTCATGCTTGTTGCTCGTACCCAGGAGCGTTGCGTCTCGTCCCATTCCAGCACTCTACAAATGAGGCACGCGGTGGAGTGGGCGTCCCGTCAGCTGTTGCTGACCCCCACCTGTACCTCAGCTCACGATCCAACTACTGAATGGCTAGCAACCGGTGTGGGGCTTCATTCCGTCTACCTAGGCGTCATGAGCATCTGGCGAGCAGGGCCCATTCCGGCTAACTATGGACGGTGGTAGACACACCGCCTCGACTACGTCTGATCTCCTCTCGAAAGGGAAGTTTCTGTTTGGGCTTCGACGTGTTGCTTTTGACCGCAGCCTTATGAGTCGAATTACAATGTACACGGCGTTCGTATTGGCGCACAAAACAGTGCCAGCAGTAGTCATCATTAACGGCATGTCACCCAAGAGGCTCTTGCCTCATAGTCGGACACAACCGTGCACACAATTTTTGAGGCATCCAAGATTGCAGTCGGAGCAACACATCGACACCGAGCAAAAGCATTTCCGAGCTGAGGGAAGCCAGGTCTGTTTGCAGCTGACCTTCAAGCCAGCGCCATCCCAACTAGGAATAACTAGCAAAAGGCGAACTTGGCCTCGAACACGCAAACTACGAAGGCAAAAATCCAAAGCGCCAACGTGACTTACACCCGTTGGAGTCCACCTTTTCCGCTTGGTACGGCAGAGAACGAGTTCAGTACAACACAAAGACGCGGGATTACACATTGCACAGACACCTTCAGCACCTTTACACACCGGCAACTTTCCCGAAAATGAGACACCAGCACACGCACAGCACGGTCCGGGGCTGGTCGAGTGTGCTGTGGAGCATCTGACGACACGAGATGGTGGTACAAATGAGCTCAACCACATTTGTATGGATGAAAACAAAAAAATGTTGCACATTACTGGACGCGAAGTAACAGATACTACGCGTCGGCAGACGACCACGGGATAACTAAATGGCTGCACGTCTGGCTGGATGGAATCACTTTTTTCGGCTCGCACTCCGCCATCGAATGGAATCGGAAGCAGATCACACAGGATGCCGTCTCGTGACATTACATGATAAATGACACTGACTGGTAGCACAGGTCTAGAACACGCATAACGAACGATTCTGCGAGTATGTACAATGACTTGCATGCAAGGTTGCACACGGTCGACACACTACGATTATATCGACGATTCGTCATTGAAGTGGGCAGCACAAATATGTCAATAAATAACTTATGTTGTATGGATTAACAGCAGCAGCGAAAGAATCATATTATGATGACTTTTTGCAATAAGCTTATCGGAGAATTCCGAGAATGTATACGTGTGGTAGGCCGTCGTTAGCCACAAAGTCAGACGAGAAAATATTGCTGTTAATACTGGACTGAAGAGAATTTAGAGTTTGTTGTAGTCAAATTTATTCGCATTTTTTTGTTTTATAAGAAGATATAAGGAGTGTGTTCTCATCTATTGAACTCCAACGGCAGTATAGTCGACAGGTCGACATAAGAGACGTACATCAGCATGCTGGTAGTGTACCAAAATTCCCGTAGGTACAAAATTGTTCGCCCTATATTTCATTAATTTTGATAAAAGCGCATAACGAAGCATAGGTAAAACTGGCATTCACATAAACTCTTCTTGATCACTACTTCCACCATGCGTGCATTCACAGGGTACTACTGTCCAGGGCGAAACTGTGGCCGCCGACCTGAACCCACTGGCGATAAGAAACAAGGTGCGTGAACTACCCCACCGTGACGTTGTCAAATAAGCTCCCAGCTAGGGGCGGATCTGCCCGTTCTTTGCAACGCTTACAAACTGTAATAACGCAGCATGCGCGCCCGACCCATGCAATTATCGAGAGTGTTCGTAAAAGACCGGCAGGCTCACATTGCCGCCAGCGGAAACACGCCAAGACGGAGCCAGGACGACATGGGAGCCCACTGTGCCAACACTGGGGACGACATAGGAGCCCACCGTGCCAACACTGGGGCCCGCCGACACATCCAGCGAAGGGATGGTGGGTTACGCCTGCACACGTGGCAGAAGGTCTACTAGGTAGGTCAGTAGGTCAAAGGAATGGCACAGCGTCACCGACACGACACCGACACGGCCGCTTATGAGCACTGGCGAGACGACGGAATGCACGACGAAGCATCGATTGGAACAGCAGCCAGTTATTGGGAGGCGCGCATATTTGTTTAGACAAAGAACAGTTGTGTTAAATGCCACACACGGGACTAATCGATGGGATGGGGCAAGGTTGACATGCACGAACATCGACTCACTGGCACGCAAACAGCGATAACGCCACAGATGCGAAGAAGAAAGGCTGAGGCGAGTCAAGCTTGGCTGCTCGGCTGGCGGTCGCAGAGGATAGGTGAAAAGTCGGAGCTAAGCAGGCGAAGGCATCGGAAAGCCGCCTGCCGCGGGTGGCTTATGAGGTGTGCGGTGACACTAGCCAAGAGGAAAGGCGACATTGAGAACAGCTTAGATAGTCATGGCAGTGTCTTTGTGCGCAAGCGGATTGCTCGCGGGTGCGGAAAGGCGACATTGAAAACGATAGAGCGGCTCCCAGTGGCGCGAAAGGCACAGATAGAAGCGAGAAGGAAGCTTAGAGGCACATCTGACACTTGACCGAAACTTAACGAGGCTTCGGGACAGACCCTTGCTCTCAAGCTCGGGGACAAATCGACATTGCTACCCCAGAGCGCAATGCTTTGTTGTGGGTACGCCCGGATAAATTATACTGGCCTTTGCTGTGTTGGCAAATATCCAACAAAGCGGGATGCTTGCTGAGGTATTGGCTCATTTTACAACTTTCCGTACTTCGGATGTTATTGTCACAGCGCGTTTAGACAAATATGGCTTTCCAATTTCAAGAAAATGCTATTTTGCATGGGGCATCAACCACTTAGTGAGTAATCTATGGGATAGCCCACGTGAATAAAACTCAAATGGCTCCTTGAGCTCAACTTAACGCAAAACTGACCTGTCGTGAATGAAAAGCAAAGAACCGCGGTATCACACCCGAATCCCCTTAATTCATGTGACGTCATTAACCGCCGCCCCAACGTCTCGGGCGGCACGGGACACCACCCGATCTTTTCCACCGAGGGAGCAGTAAGCAACAGCACACCTCGTCGTTTCGGTCAAGTGAACAGCGCAGCACAGAGCGGCCAACAGCGAACAGCGAACCTACTTGCTCGTCCCACCATCTGCACAGCACGCACACCCTTGCGGAACAGGGCCACTGCGGGAGACGAGGCCATGTTAGCGGGATCACTGCAGGAGACGAGGCCGTGTTAGCGGGATCACTGCGGGCAACGAGGCCATGTTAGCAGGGCGGCGGGCCCGACGCCGGCGGTAGGCCGCGTGCGCTAGCGGGTGCTCGCGGGCTGCCGCGCCGCTGTCCCCAGCCGCTCCGAAGCACGATACAGCCGTTTGAGCCAGGCGGTGCCATGTGATGGTGAAGTTTTGTCGACGAATGACTCGACAGAGACCTGGTTGACGTACTTATCCGGTGAATCTTTCTGGAGCACGCCAGCTGAGGGCTGACATGAATAAATAGCCACTTCATGGCTACTGGGTATGAGGCGACCCAGCCCACACGCCTTTGTGTGCGCATTCGGAAATTCCAATGTGTCCACGCAAGTGAAAAAGTTAGCGCTTTTGGGAAACAGTTGATGTATGCCTTCCTAAAAATACCACATAATTGCAAGTTTTTTACAGTTACAATTAGTTTGCCGAAGCAACAGACGCAAGGCAAACATGAACGTGGCGATCCGTGAGTGCTCCTCATGTTGCAGCCTCGTTTGCGACACAAACACTGTTAGGGGCTGTTTAGTAGGTACTGCTTGCACAACAGTCTGTTAGCCTCAGCCTAAGCGACAGCGACCGGCGTACTGGACGGGGCGAACAGGATTCACATAAGCTGTCTCGGTGGGCACGTTGTCACACAAACCACAATATGAGGTTCACAACGAAATCCGGCGCTGTTAATGATGGCGCGTAAAGTCGCAAATTAAGACCGATTGCTGTTACCCATAACAATGATACGATCAATGGAGTGAACTAGGAAGAGGTTGATCAACTTCCGATCTGATGTGTTTGCCAAGCTGCTTTCGAATAAAAAACCAAGACAGCAATGTGCACGTGGATGAGACATATAGCGTGTTTGGATAATCAGTCATCAATTGTGTAAAACAGAATTAATAAATCGCGTCCCGGATGATCACAGTCATCTTCCAGTCGGAAAGCCAGCTGCGAAACCGTTGCGCGGTCGAGTTTACAGATTGTAGGACTACCAATAGGCTAGGCAATTCACACATTTTATTATGGCACAAACGTGATTTTTGAGAAAAAAAAACCATCGCTCTAGCCAAGTGTCCAATCACGGAGCACGATGTGTGGGAGCGTTGCAAGGAAGTAAAAGAGCGTGCTTTAAGCACATGCTTAAAGCATTACAGGTCTGCGGACGGAATGGCTCATTCAGAAGCGCCACTGATAAAGTGGTCTGCCTGGATATTTGGTTCATCTGAAGTTGGGGAGACAATCGGCAAATTCTTTGGATTCCTTGGTTTCAGGCCTGTCAAAGACGTCTGCATGAGCCAGTCCAATGCTATGTAAGAGTTGACAAGGTAAGAGCTAAACAACGCACCTTTCCGAAATCCTATCTAAGTTGGCACGAAAATGGCTTGCGATAATACTACGCATGAATCGATCACATTTGGCAAAACATGGGGTTCAACTGCACATTTATCAGACGGAAGACATCACCAACTTTCCAGTTTGACATACGTATTCCAACAATTCAAATTCATTTGGATTAGTGATTTTAATAGAGTTTGATTCTGATCAGGCCTTCCAGTCAACTTTCCAGTAAAATCCATCGCAATGCAGGGACAAATGTAAAAACCTCACTTCGTAGCCAATACAGCCTGTTTTTTAACAACATTGTTGAGATCACTGCCTCCTGTGCCCTTAAGCATGTTGTATAAAGTAACACCTTTTGCCTATTGAAGAAACCTAACCGACGCCCCTATAAAGAACTACCCCCAAAGCATTTATGAATCGCGGGGTAAAAAAATTATTAATTATATGCCGGCTGACATTCGATCCTTTGGGGTGCCTCACTGCACCTATGATGTATGTTTCTCTTATGCCTAGCTTAGTGATGCCATGCAATACGGTTGCTTATTCCAAGCAAGTTTCAGATTTTGATTTTTTCAGATTTGAGAAGTACAGGGAAATGACTCAAATGCATTTCCAGTTGCTCGCGTTGCCACTCCAAACCGAGACAAACACGCACAGCGAAAGTTGTCGAGCGCTAGCAGCCAGATTTCATGAGCTTTGGTAGATGCTGCATAACTGAAAACATATAAAAACAAGTTATGCCTATACACAATACTTGACGTCGGTAAACTAAATCAGAAGCTTTTCCCGCATCCAACAGTTGACACCTCCGAAATATGGTGTTCACGTAGTTGGGCGATGGCATTAAAATCCAGCATCGGTCCACCAATTAAACACGCGGTTAATGGTACAAGGGCTCTGAAATAAGAAAGTGAGCAAGCGAATCCCAGGGCATCTTGTTATTTGCTAACATGCCGCACACCCGAACGCTAAAACAACGCGACGGAGCGTTTTCAGACCGTGTAGTCCTGAACTCAATCTTAGTGAAAGCGGGGCGCAGCTAAGTGGTAGTCAAAACACCACACGGGGCGGTTAAAGCGACTTTAAGTGTCATATTCGAGAGCCGTTCAAGCGCGTCACCTCCCGGCGGCAGGGAGAGGGTGTGGGTTGCAGACCAATGAAGGGCCCCGGATCGTCTCCCGGCGGCAGGGAGAGGGTGTGGGTCGCAGACCAATGAAGGGCCGCGAGCGCTTGCCGGCAGCAGGGAGAGGGTGTAAGTCGCAGACCGATGAAGGGCCGCGGACAGGCGCGGGGTGTGAGCCGCAGACCAATGACGGGCCGTGGACAGGCGCGGGGTGTGAGCCGCAGACCAATGAAGGGCCGTGGACAGGCGCGGGGTGTGAGTCGCAGACCAATGAAGGGCCGTGGACAAGCGCGGGGTGTGAGTCGCAGACCAATGAAGGGCCCCAGAGCGCCTCCCGGCAGCAGGGAGAGGGTGTGAGTCGCAGACCAATGAAGGGCCGTGGCGCGGGCGCGCTGATTACCGCTCTGTATCCAGCCGCCGTTTGCACTACGTCCCAGAAGGCCAGAGCTAAGCATTGTGGTGCCAGTGTCTGCGAAGGTGGACGCCGATCAGTGTGGGTTCAGGCAGTACAAGTCGGGTCAAGTCAATTAATTTGTCAATGTCATCCGGTTAAAAGTCAGCCAACAAGCTCTGGAAATTGTGGGATCATCCCACACGGATCAGCTCATTATGCCGAGTCGAGTCAGTGCATGTTTCTGATGGTCAGGCCAGTGGCAAGTTGTGCCTGGCGAGGTAACATCCGGTCAGTTCAAAGAATGCGAGTGGAACCAGGCCCAGTGAGGTCAACCAAGTCACGGAAGTTCAGCCCGGCCCAGCACTGGTAATCGCCATCAGCCCAGCCCATAGGAACAGTTCGTCAGGAGAGTTCCTCCCGAGTCAAGCCAAGTACGTTCCGCCTTTTGTGACGTCATTCAGGTCAGATTTCCTCTGCTTCGGTCCGGAAGGTGTGGCCTAAAATAAGCCAGAAGCGGCTGAGTTGAACGCCCAGTGTCGGATGATGAGCAGGCCAATGCAAGATTACGTCACGTCCATGACGTGTCTACTAAAGCCGGGTCCAATTTGCGATGGGTGTCATTTTTACTTGCGGTCGGAGCATGTCGGTCTAGGCCAGACCGGGTTTCATCTCGTCTAATCAGATGGAATCCGTTTATGTCTGTCAGGTCTATGGCTGGGCATTGTGGTAGGATTCTCGGACTGTAGCGACGATGACACGTTCGAGGAAGGTTCAAAAGTTTGATTTGTCATATCATCCTGCCTTTGGCGAGTATGCGTTGGAGGAAATACCGATGTCGCAAGTAAGCAAGTTAACAGTATGGCGGTTCTACGTTAGTGTTGCAGTCACTGACATGCTTGATATTTACCAGGTAAAAATGGCTTAGCTGACAAAAGCTTAAGTAACATATAAGAAAACTGCACCGACCGCTATGGTTGAGTATGCACATCTTCTCGTATTTGCTAAGTGAGCACAGCACGTTACAGAGAAATGACACAAAGGATAAAGATATTTAACAGATGGTGAGCGAAAAATGTTGCCGGTTTAAAAAACTATGACACGCTTTTATCGAAAGTCTCGAGCTAATAGTAAAAGCGGGATTTGCTTTAATTTGGGCCTATTCGTAATGCATGCTCTTTATGAACGGTTGTAGACGCCAAGAGCCTTGATGTTTGTTCCTGATAAGCAAAAGCACTAGACCCGCGTCAACTAATATAAAACGCATTCAGCACACAAAGCCGTGCGTTATACACACATCCACCCAGCCAATCCCGCTCGATGGCTTCGGAAGTCATGACGGCACGAATAATGGTAATAATTTGTGCCGACCGCTAAGTGAAGCGCAGTTGCAAATAATTTACCATAATTTAACTCAAATAAAACCACGTATGAGGATTGTCGACACATGAAGTAACTGGGCCGTAGCGTCATACAAGCAGCAAAAAAGGACGGACAAATCATGACACTGTGTGGTGCCTTCCCCCCCCCCCCCCCCCCCCCCCCTCTACCGCCCACTGCCGTTGCGTTGCGCTGTGCACGTCAAACAGCGCACCACATGCGTTGAGATATCTCTGTACGAGAAACACCATCGCTACTGTTGAGAGCGAGCCCGTGAATGATGTCAGTCATCCCTCAAAGAGCGATAAGCGCTCTGCTCAATTCCATGGTCCATTACACAGCACCACAAACAACACCGACGAATATATGAAGATAAACGGAACAGCAGCCGAAACTCATTCGACGGAGTGGCCCGCCCGTCGCCATGGGGCTTCAGCACGCAACAAATACTCACAGTTTTTGCACTTGCACTTTTTGATGAGGGTCTCATCCTTGATGTCCTCGTGGCACGACTTGCAGTAGTACCAGGCCCTGAAGCAAGCCGCGTTGAAGGCAAAATTATAAATAGAAGGCTGTAACGTACTTCGCAGCGTGACGTGCCAAGTATCCTAGCAGCATGCCACTGACCTAACCTGCTTTGAAGCAAGTAATGTTAATGAGGTCGCAAGTTCGACCTCACGCATCCCTCGAGCAGATCTATTAGTGGGCACACATTGCAATGGCCAAGGTCCTCAGTCCACATGAAAGGATGACTGGAGGCTCTGTCTCCCGTTCATTCGATAACATGGTTTACAGCATTTCTAAAATAAGACAATGACATCACTGCTCCGCTCACAGACATAAGGGTCAATAAGGGTCATCAGTGACATAAAATAATTTATCCAATGAATTCGCAAAAAATAAGGTCCATCCGTGTTGGATGAGACCACAAGTGCACACAAGTAACGCGAATGGTCTGACCTATGCAGACATTTGGGGAAAATTATGGGGCGTTCATTACATATGTCTGGGATAGGACTTTCCAAGAATGCCTAGATGATGCTTAAAGGGGATGTTCCACATTGTACGTGGTTTTGAGCTGAAATATATATCTTGAAGATCATTATATACAGGTGACAGTCCAGCCCTTTTTAACACCTAAAACCACCTAGTATTGCGACACACGCCCTTAGAAGATGTGCAGACTATTTCGTGCGAACCAGTTCAAGGTCACCAAGGAATCCATCACAGCATAGTGACGTCATCAAAATTTCGCCGGTCCACTGCCCATACGGCGGTCAAGGTTCAGTGATAAACGATGGTCGTGTCAACCATATCTGGCGTTTGTGAGCACGTTTATAGACATAACGGCGGTCAATTGACTCTTAACCGATATAGCGCGAGCCGCGCAAGATTATAACAAGAAGTACGTTTTGTGTTACATCATGCAAGAAATTAGGCATTCTCTCCAGTCCCTACGGAAATCAGAATAATAATCGAATAGGTTTTGAACATGGCTATAACCGAATGCGTGAATGCAAGTAAGTACCTTAAGTCACGGATAAATGTTAAGAACGCCACGCTAAACGGCCAAAACACGAGCACCCGACAATCTTTGGTTCAGAACACATTCAGCACCACTGCGTGCCACCTATTGGGAGATTGAAGAAATGTAAGTGAGTGCTGTCATACAAACAGTTCATGACGCTGTCAAACAATGACATAGAGGGGAGATGATTTACCAGTGAGAAAAAGTTTGTTGTCTAAAGCAGTCTTCCCAACTTGAAAGTATACCAGCAGTTCTAAGTCAGCTTATTCCATCATATCTAATGCTTCTTTCAATCTCTTCAAAGATGGAAGATTCCCTTTACATACATGCCACAAAGTACCATGAGATACTTCTGTTGCAATATACGTTTTCACATGGATATTTTTGCCGATGAGAAGAAGATCAACTGAGGTTCAAAGCTGTTTTAGTCTCTTTCAGGGGTTCTAACTATGTTCTTGGCAAAAGACAAACAAATGTGAAGCGGCTAGGTAGGAATGAATGGGAACGAAAAGTGGGTGGCATTGCGAGGAAACCTGTCCTCATATCCCCGTAAGCAGCGACAGAGTTGAATGAAAAAGTGCATGGTGAAAGCCTCTTGATGAAAGTCTCGCTTAGTTTTAGCGTCATACTCCCATGCAGCCGCTCGTGAAAGATCGTGCGGGGCAATAGGTAGTATGAATAACTTTTTGAGTGTGGTCCTTGACGCTTCGCGGTATTCGACCAATTTTTGTTATCCAACTTGCCTCGTTAAAGACTGGCACGGAACGTCAGAAGTGTTTCCTTAACAAGGACTGATTCGGTGTCTTCCCACCTTGTACCGTCATTGATTGACCTGGGGTATCCCACCTTAGCCATAATCAGTGCACGACCAGGAGTATTCAGCACCTCTCTCACCCCCCCCCCCCCCCCTCCCCCAACTCGTCCTTCCCTGACCAAGAGCATGCAACGCATAAGCACTTCTTTCATCGCTAACTTCATGCTCCTTCCAAGAGCATCTGTTACATGATTTCGTATCGCGCCATCTAACCTCGCCCAAAGCAAGGAGAACATGTCACGCATAGCCCCCTCACCGTTTGACCTCGTCCGCCGACTGGGCGATGAAGAAGCCCTGCGTGTTCGGCTGCAGCTTGATGTGGCGGGGGTTAATGGCGATCTTGTTGTCGGCTCCATCGTCACCGCGAGCTTCGATCGCCAGCAGCAGCAGCTTCAGCTTCGTAAAGCACAATCTGCCGGAGCGTAGGTGGTGAGGCCGCCTGCTCACGAGCTGTGGTTGGCCATTTAAAGACCAAATCCTTTTTATGATTCTACTCCCTTATGACCTATTATTATTGATCAGTCAACATACCTATAACGATTTTATGTCTCACAAACGTGCGATAATGGCTGACTCGTCCGCCAGCAGGCAAGCGCAGCGCCGGTCGGACACCAAATGTAGCAGTTGGTGTTCATTTAGGATATTATTTCCTGTATGAATGTAATAAGGCAACACAGTGATCGAAAGGCGCGTCGGGCACTTTGACCGGTGTAAGAAAAGAATATCTTAATCATGAAGTAGCTACAAAATGACAATAAACAAATTACTGGGAAAGAAAATGTAAACATCGTTTTTTATTAGAATCGTCGTCGCTGTTAACTTATTGGCTTACCGTTCAAGACGTTCGCGTGCAGTCACCTTAGCTATGCACAATTCAAGGAGGTCCGAGTGCAAGAAGGAGTAACTAGACAAATGGCACCCTATGCCCCAACGCTTACGACCACATGCACACACGGTATTGCCAGCCATGCAGCATGCATTTGTATTATGTGCTTCGATATCGTTTACCGGAAATCGGACTGCTCCAGTGTGATTTGCAAATGGTGATCACACTTTTGTGGTACCTCCCACCAAGCAGAATTTGGTCTCTCCAAGGCCAAAATAAACGTAAAGGGATCCATGATAAACAGCTAATAATCGGTCAACAGCTTGCTCATTAGCATCAGAACGCACAAAATCTGGAAACCTTCTGCCTGCATCATAAGTTTCCCGCTACACGCTTAGTCAAAATTATTCTAACCACTGCCAAGCCATTGGATGTAAGTGCCTATGTCTCCACCCCAGGGATAGTAGCCAAGGCAAACAGCTGGCCAGGAAACAGATGAGTGGGACATCTCCCAGATCAAACGCTGCGGACATAGAACAAGTCCGCAGCTGGCCAATCGTGAACGTATTGCCGGCGAAGCAGCGTGTGAAGAAACAGCTGATCAATCAGCTAACAACGCGGGCAGACTGAGTAACCACCACTCATTCTGGTGTTCTGTTTGTGATGCTTGCGAGCTGGGAGCAGGTGGTCCGCAGTGTGAGTCGCGGCCACCAAATTATGGTGCGTGGATGATCAGTGTACGTCTTCAAGGTAAAGTACATTCGGAAAGCCCCAAAACAGAAAAGCCCAGAAAAGCGAGAAAAAAGCCCAGAAATTCTAAGCACTGGTGTCAAAAGTGCGACGTACATTGCAACGGGCGCTATCCCTGGGTTATTTAGCCCCCAGGGTCTGTCAAAAAGAGGCTTAAATGCACTTGTATAATAGCAAACTGTTGCACGTGATGCAAGTTCTGCTCACTTGTATTCGTCATTTATTCCTAGCGTTTAGAGCGTAGCTTTGACCGAGTATACATGTGACGGTGTATCTACTGATGAAACCGTCATCAAATTCGTTCTCTCAATGACTCCGCAAGATCTCGAATCCTTCAATGACCGAAAATGTGTTCGCCGGAGAGCTTGGGTTTGACTGCTACGACGAGAGTACTTACAGGGTGATCTGGCTGAAGATTTTCGGCCGACTCAGACCAATTTATGTTATTTAGTCATGACATAAAAACTGGTTAAGTACACCCATGGCAAAAATGGGGACAAACATCCAACTAAACAGCTTCTACATTCAAGGCAAGCAACATGCTGTTAATTAGAGGTAGCAGCAAAGTCATTCAGCTTAACTCGTTATTGGGGTGTCACCGTCAAATGGTCTAAGTGAAACGACAGCCAATACGTTTTAAGCGGTCTAATTGGGCACAAACACGCATGTCAAGTTTGTATTTACATCTGGCCAGAAAAATTTTGATGAATATTTTCGAAGAGTTAAAAAATTGTGTTATTACCTGATCCGAGATTGCTCCGGATTCTGGGCAACAATGTGCAACATGGCGATCCACGTCCCGTCAACTAAACAGCCTCGCACAACTATACGTGTCGCCCGGGGCGCTGGTGGGCAGCCGACATGCAAACTGGGTCGTGGCGACTTGCGCGCCATCTACCGACGGCGGGCCAACTCACTCTGAAGCCATGGGGAATGTCATGCCCACAAACGCAGGGACTGAGCGTTTCCTGTGTACATCTCGCAGCCTGTTCCCTGCAGGTAGTCATTCTGCCAGGCCTTTGCGTGTCCGGAGACTGCGAAACGACCGGCACTTCCTCAGCTTGGGACTCCACCCCACCCCACATGTGCATTCATCAACGCAGGCGAAGGGTATTTCGCTGCCCCCCCCCCCCCCCCCTCCCCCCTCCGCAGTCACAACACCGAGCTTTGGGGATAAACGGCTCCCTAAGCTGAGCTTTGGAGATGAAATAGCTTGCTTCTCATGGGGCAGCGTTTCATATCTCGTCATTTCAGCAAATGATCATGGCGTAAATGACGCTGCTACTTTCTAGTGGCCACGCTACTAGGCAGGGACATTTGTGCACTGGAGCATCACCTAACCGGAACAATATCCTTTTAACGCACGGTCCTCTTAATTGAGGTGTCCTCGACGCGAGGGCACGCCAAAACAGAAGATTCCCTCATTAGGACTCGGAATTATTTACTCGAACTCGGCCTCTACCCGGAGTGGACTCGGGAGAAGCTATTCTCGGTCGGGACACTCTTCTCAGGAGGGTCATAAGGGGCATAGAGATCAATAATTGGCCCCCAAGACAAGATCAACTGTGGACCACCTGCGTCCTTTTTGGGCCCGAAACTTTTCATTCAAATTTTGCATGTCTGTAGTAAACCAACACGGTAACAAGGTAGACCCAAAAACACAGGAGACCAGAAGTGATGAAAAGAAATGTCATCAGACTTGCCAAGTTGGGGAAAGCAGATCAAGCGCTCTCGTGGAAGTAAAGCGCACGCATACCGGGGGGAGAGCAATGCCAAACATCCGTAAATTTTATCGGGAAAGCTCGATTGTCAATTTGTGTCCCGCATTCACGTTCGCAAAGAGCGAGATAGCGAGAGAGAGCACGAGACAGAGAGAGAGAGAGAGAGAGAGAGAGAGGAGAGAGAGAAGAGGAGAGAGAGAGAGAGGAGAGAGAGGAGAGAGAGAGAGAGAGGAGAGAGAGAGAGAGAAAGAAGAAAGAAGAAAGAAAAGAAAGAAGAAGAAGAAGAAAGAAAGAGAAAGAAAGAAGAGAGAGGAGGAGAGGGAGAGAGAGGAGAGAGAGAGACAGAGAGATAGAGCGAGAGAGAAAGAGAGAGAAAGAGAAAGGAGAGGAGAGAGAGAGAGAGAGGGAAAGAGAGAGACCTATAGCATCGTACACACTGGGCTGAACCAACTCGAACCAAAGTTTTTCCACGGTGTTGCTGCGCCTGAAGCCATCGAAATATATTATAGGTTGCAATCTCGTACATCCCTGTGAAATCAAATTGTAAATGCAAGCACACGTGCTGAAAGTTCCAACACAGTGTAAACATCACGGTGCGCTTGGCAAGGCATGGTCACGCGGGATCATCAGTGAGAGAACGAGACACTCAGTTGAATACCACACAAAATCTCTAGTTTCTACATTGGCTTGACCGTCGGACATTCGCAAACACACAAACACTGCCGAGCATGTAAAGCGCTGCAAACCACTGCAGATGTGACTTATGTACCACATCAGCAGTAGATGGCAAAGGCGGTCCCTGCGTAAATGTCCAGAGGGCAAAACTGGGAGTGGCGCATGAAGAAAGCAAAGCGTTGAATGCGGCAGCTTGTGATACCGAACACCTTTGCACCAGTCTAATTACAGGGGAACCGGTCTGCCTATGTATGATTCTTCCTGGAAGCCGTCCAATCTTCAAGTGTCATTAGAGATCAGATGATGATGGACCACAAGTCAAATTACGTTTCGATTGCATATGCACTAT